GATAGACATGTAGAGTAGGGTCTCCAGAACATAGAAACTGCTGGATGCTAACCCGCATGTTGGGACATTTACACAGTTAGCATAAGTTGTGTTATTTAGCATATGCAGACAATAGCTCAAATGGCGTGGTCATGTGATTAACCAGCTGAACGTACCCATCTTGGCCAGCAGGGCGTTGATGTCTCTCAGAGTTTTCCCCACGTCGTCTCTGGTGTTTCTGGCGTTGTTCAGAGCTGCAGTCGCCCCATCAGCTGCCTGCAGAGAAACATTGAGATCCACCGTTATCCAACAGCTCAGGGCAAAGGGTTCACATTACAATCTGATTTTACTGGGTTTTTTATTCCATTTTATTTCAATATAAATTCTGCTTTATTTTATTTTTTATTTTACTATATTGTTTTCTATTCAATGTTATTATAGGGCTCTTAAAATAGTTTTCTATTGCACCACGACACCAAGTCAAATTCCTCGTACGTCTCCTTCATAGTTCCAGTCTAAGTTTGTATGCTGGTGATTACTACACAGATGTGGAAATGAATGTAAAACAATCGTTGTTTTGATCATAAAGTCAAATTCATTTCCAGATACCATTGACTAAATGTTTTGTAGATACACTGATCTGTTGTTATTCATATGTTTAAATGATAAACTGAGGCAGAAAAGTGTTGACATTACACTTATTATTGTTCTTAAAGATGTCAGGTTGTTCATAATGTTGTGTAAAAAGATGTTTGCACTGAAACAAAGGCAAGGAGTTGTTGTTATTTGTAGTTTAGTTTGCTATGATTCTATTATTCCAGCCCACTTGAGATCACATTACTAACATGAGTTTGTACATTTTTTTTACAATACCAAAAACATTAGGGACAACACAAAACAATAACAACAAACACTGACAACGACAGACACACAGCAACAGTAGCAACCTAGCACTCACTCACACTTATCGTGTTATATTTACGCCCACAGTATAATGGCGCGTTTCCACTACAGCGCGCAGCCCGGTTTAAGAGGGCTGTGACGTCAGCGGCCCGTCTTTGGTTGCGTTTCCACTTGGCCTAGTACCGGCCGGCGGGTCCTAATTCACAGTTTTTCTGGCCTCATAAAATCGTGGGTCTAGGGCCAGAGACAACGAGGCTGAGTCGGGCTGAGTATGCTAAACTAGAGAGAGCATCGCTGGCAAGGTGGCTACAACTACAACAAGATGGACATATTTGACCGTGATTTAATTGTAATACAGGTTTCAAAATGATGAAGTAACAACATACTGATACCGGTTAGTAACAACCATGAATTAATGCTTTGACAAGTCTGCAGACAGACGGCAGGAGAAACACCTTTTAAAATGCTTGTTTTCTAAATGGAGATTGGCTAAGCTAACGCAGTATATGCTCCGACCGTCCACACTCACAACAACGGCCTATACAGACATAAATAAAGCAGCGACTGTATTCTCCATGACACAGGCAGTCTGTGGTTTGTACTTGTTTAACTTTTGTCTAGTTTCTGAACATATATGAGGAGCTGTGAGCTCTGAGTGCTAACAGCTAACGGCTGTGTTGGTTTTTCTGGGGTTCTCATTGAAGATCACGTCACGGCTCCTCCTACACTGCGTTACTATAGATACTGCCCCAGTTCCTAAACTGTAATGGAAATGCGCCATAAAGTGAGCCAGTCCTAACGAGGCCTAGCCATACCGAGCAAGGCCGAGCGAGGCCGTGTAGTGGAAACGTGCCATATTACTTCCTTCATGTACGGTGTGGACACCAGTCCCTAACAAACTCCTCCAGAGTTCCTCGCAGTGTGAAAACTCTCCAATGGCAGGATTCACATCAGTTTTTGAAACCTTAACAAAAGATTAGGCGGATCTTTATCCAACAATTTCTGGAGGATTGTGAGTCGTGCTGCATACAGAGCAATACCAATAATATTCCTATGTCTACGTTCGTAATTTAAATCTGATCCGAGGACAAAGTTATAAGGGTTAAAAGGTAACTCTATGCCAAACACTTTTGTGATCTCACTTTGCACTGAGTCCCAAAAATGTACAACTTTAGGGCAAATGAGATGACTGTAACTGCCATAACCTATTTGACATTTTACACATGATGAAGAGCACGTTTGATCGTATTTACTTCGAATAGCAGGGGTCACAGTCTGTGAATAACCTATTGGGTCTCATGGGATTAGTTAGAACATGTTATCTTCTCTAATCTGATCTTAAATCTGAGTGTGTCTCTGTGTACCTGCTCGGCCTCGCCCTCCAGCGTCCGGCCGTCCTCCAGCTCTGAGGTCAGGTTATCTGTTGCATCGAGGGTTCGCTGCTTCAGATCCTTAGAGTCTTTGTTCAGTTTGGTGGCTTGGTTCAGCAGACCGGTGTGAGGCGGCAGGGACCCAAAGGTGTTCTGGAGGATAAAGACAGACGGTCAACACTGAGTTCAAATAGTGCAAGTAAACACAATCAAATAGAATAGAAGTAGTGCCATGAGAGTCTATATACAAGTGATAGATAATATCTCACCTCCAGCCCGGTGACCAGGTTCCCCAGCAGGTTGATGGTCTTCACGGAGCTGTCGTACTCTGCAGACACGTCTCCCAGGATGCCGCTGGTCTCATCGTTGTTGCTGACCGCCTGCTGGATGGTGGCGTTGATGCCAGGAAGACGTTTGATGGCGTCGTCGGCCAGAGACTTGCTGTCGTCGATCTGCTGGTCGAAGCCTGAGGAGGAAGACGAGCAGGAGTCAGTGCGAGTTTATGGATGAACCAATCAGTGATGTATTTTAAAGGTCACCTATTAGGCAAAATATTTTACACATCAACATGTGTCCCCTCTTCTTCATGTCTCTTCTACATCAACATGTGTCCCCTCTTCTTCATGTCTCTTCTTCATCAACATGTGTCCCCTCTTCTTCATGTCTCTTCTACATCAACATGTGTCCCCTCTTCTTCACGTCTCTTCTACATCAACATGTGTCCCCTCTTCTTCATGTCTCTTCTACATCAACATGTGTCCCCTCTTCTTCATGTCTCTTCTACATCAACATGTGTCCCCTCTTCTTCATGTCTCTTCTTCATCAACATGTGTCCCCTCTTCTTCATGTCTCTTCTACATCAACATGTGTCCCCTCTTCTTCATGTCTCTTCTACATCAACATGTGTCCCCTCTTCTTCATGTCTCTTCTACATCAACATGTGTCCCCTCTTCTTCATGTCTCTTCTTCATCAACATGTGTCCCCTCTTCCTCATGTCTCTTCTACATCAACATGTGTCCCCTCTTCTTCATGTCTCTTCTACATCAACATGTGTCCCCTCTTCTTCATGTCTCTTCTACATCAACATGTGTCCCCTCTTCTTCATGTCTCTTCTTCATCAACATGTGTCCCCTCTTCCTCATGTCTCTTCTACATCAACATGTGTCCCCTCTTCTTCATGTCTCTTCTACATCAACATGTGTCCCCTCTTCTTCATGTCTCTTCTACATCAACATGTGTCCCCTCTTCTTCATGTCTCTTCTTCATCAACATGTGTCCCCTCTTCTTCATGTCTCTTCTTCATCAACATGTGTCCCCTCTTCTTCATGTCTCTTCTACATCAACATGTGTCCCCTCTTCCTCATGTCTCTTCTACATCAACATGTGTCCCCTCTTCTTCATGTCTCTTCTACATCAACATGTGTCCCCTCTTCTTCATGTCTTTTCTACATCAACATGTGTCCCCTCTTCTTCATGTCTCTTCTACATCAACATGTGTCCCCTCTTCCTCATGTCTCTTCTACATCAACATGTGTCCCCTCTTCTTCATGTCTCTTCTTCATCAACATGTGTCCCCTCTTCTTCATGTCTCTTCCACATCAACATGTGTCCCCTCTTCTTCATGTCTCTTCTACATCAACATGTGTCCCCTCTTCTTCATGTCTCTTCCACATCAACATGTGTCCCCTCTTCTTCATGTCTCTTCTACATCAACATGTGTCCCCTCTTCTTCATGTCTCTTCTACATCAACATGTGTCCCCTCTTCTTCATGTCTCTTCCACATCAACATGTGTCCCCTCTTCTTCATGTCTCTTCTACATCAACATGTGTCCCCTCTTCTTCATGTCTCTTCTACATCAACATGTGTCCCCTCTTCTTCATGTCTCTTCTACATCAACATGTGTCCCCTCTTCTTCATGTCTCTTCTACATCAACATGTGTCCCCTCTTCTTCATGTCTCTTCTACATCAACATGTGTCCCCTCTTCTTCATGTCTCTTCTACATCAACATGTGTCCCCTCTTCTTCATGTCTCTTCCACATCAACATGTGTCCCCTCTTCTTCATGTCTCTTCTACATCAACATGTGTCCCCTCTTCTTCATGTCTCTTCTTCATCAACATGTGTCCCCTCTTCTTCATGTCTCTTCTACATCAACATGTGTCCCCTCTTCTTCATGTCTCTTCTTCATCAACATGTGTCCCCTCTTCTTCATGTCTCTTCTACATCAACATGTGTCCCCTCTTCTTCATGTCTCTTCTACATCAACATGTGTCCCCTCTTCTTCATGTCTCTTCTACATCAACATGTGTCCCCTCTTCTTCATGTCTCTTCTTCATCAACATGTGTCCCCTCTTCTTCATGTCTCTTCCACATCAACATGTGTCCCCTCTTCTTCATGTCTCTTCCACATCAACATGTGTCCCCTCAGAGACTCTGAAAGTTTCAGGAACAAAGATTCTCTCTCTTTTTGATCCATTTCTATAAAAACCTGTCTGAAAATGAGCTGATCAGATTTTGGACACTTTATGATGTCATAACGATTTTTTGTCTTGTGTAACCATTAGCCAATCACCAACCAAGGTAACCCCCCCCGCCCCCCTTATCACCTGAATGTCCTCCTTCTAGTGGAGCACGCTCGTGAACTGTTAGTCGCCGGAGCCTTGCAGCGGGGTAACTGCGGAGCGCATAATTGCGCCGCATTTGCTCATAAGATGAGGCTCCCTCCGCAAGATGAGGCCCCACGCAGTCTGCAGGAGGGGCGGCCCTGATCTGTACTTCTACTTGAGCAAAGGATGTGAGTACTTTTGCCATCTCTGGTAAAGTACCAGGAGTGAACGGGTCTCACCTCTCAGCGCATTCAGGGCGTCCTCCAGCTCGTTGGTGTTGCTGTTGATGCGTTTCAGAGCGTCCTCCGTCTGCACCTTGGCGACATCCACTCTGTCCACCAGCTTGTTGAACTCCTGCAGGACGTACAGACTGATTCAGACACATATCCTATCATCCAGAGGAATGAATACATCTCAGCCTGCATCAACCCAGCACCTTACTGATCAATAAAACACACACATCAACTCCTATATAACGTATTGACCCGAATATACGTTTTTGTCCTAGAAAAAAGATCTGAAGGGGTCGTCTTATATTCGGGGTCTAGACTTTTTGATGTAATTACACAGTCACAACATCAGATGGCGCCAAACTAGTGTTCCCCAAGAGAAAAGTCTTAAAGCAACAGTTCAACAGGAGAGAGAGAGACGGAGAGACACAGAGAACAGCTCCAACAAAGTGGATCAAAAGTAGGCGAGTTAATGAACAAGAGAGGAGACGTTACGATGCCAATTTTAAGATAATGGAGATCAACGAAGTTATCAAACATCTGTCGAACAGCAAAGAAATATGGAGTTACTGAGAGTAACGTTAGAAGATGGAGAGCCCAAAAAGACCGCCTTAAAAATGTCAACAGTCAGAGAAAAGCTCTCCGCGGTCCGCACACTTTGAACACAATGAGTGATGTGTGTTATCATTATTTTCAGATAAAATGATATTCTTTATAAAAACAAGATTTGGTCTTCAAAAAGGTATTTTTCCAAAAATGAGTCTTGAGAAAGAGGGGTCGTGTTATAATCAGCGTAGTCTTGTATTCGGGTCAATGCGGAAAATCTCTTTTTTTATGGACGAGTAGAGAATGCACATCAAAACCTGATGATGGACATGTGTTGAGGTTGCCTCGTATTCGCGGGTTACAAGCAGTGTTTGAGGTGATTACAAATGAATTCAAACGTGGGACTGATGATCCGTCAGTACTAGGGGTCGGGGGAAATAATCGATACAGCATAGTATCGCGATACTTTGAGAGCCAATATTGTATCGATACACAGACGCCAGGTATCGATATTTTATTATATTAACTATTCATATTGCAAATCCAAGTTCACGTTTTTGGTAACAATTTATTTTTCAATCCACTCGATGGTTCTGAGCTTCTTCTTGTATATATATCGCAATATATCGTACCTCAATACTTTGCAAATCGTAGAATTGCAATTAGTGATGTTACGTTCGCGAACGATCCGATTCTTTTGAACAGCTCTTTGGTACGAACGAAGGGAACCGAGTCGTACCAAAGAGCCGTTCTTTTTATCGTAGGTTCGCTGCCGGCCATAAATCCACTCGCCTTTACGGGAACTTGCTTTCCTGAATGCAGTTAGCCAAAGATGTGTAGTACAATTAAAACTCAAGATGATGGCGTAACGCATGCTGCTTGAGTAGTAGTTTGGCTGAGAGATGTAGCAAGTTATACATTTTACGTACGTTAAGTAGATTTCTGGCGATACAGTCAATCTTTATCCTGGTGATTATTTCGCAGATAAACCCGTTAACCCCCTTGAAAAGAAAACTGCTCTTTTGAACGGCTGTCGGAAAGGAACGGAGCCATAAGATCCAGCTCCCTTCAAAGCTCCGTAATTGCCATCACTAATCGCAATACTATCGCATCGTGGCTTAAGTATCGCGATAGTATCGTATCGTGGGGACCCCTATCAGTACCTTCGTGGCGTCCTTGCCCTGGGCCAGCAGGTCCTCGGTGGCGGTCTTGTCTCGCTGAACGGTGTCCTGCAGCGCATCCAAATCTGAGATATGTGCGTCCACCTCCACCTTCACATCGTCCAAACGGGACACCATGGCGTCCACCTGCCCCTGAGCATGATGGGAAGACAGAAGACATAACGGTGAGTGCTTGAGGTCAAGACTTCTCTCTCAAGGTGGACTGCACATCTGGATTGTTGACAGTCACCTTCAGGTCTGCTGGGATGCTTCGCTCCATGTTGGCGATGTCCTTCAACATGCCGTCGGACGTTTTGCTCTCGTCTTTGGCCTGGTCGCTCAGACGGACCCCCTGGTTCTCCAAACTCTTCACCTGGGCCGAGGTCTTATCGTGCCTAAAGTCAGTCAATGTCAAAGTCAACTTCATAGTCAATCTTCCAGTTTGTGTGTACAGACAGAGAGATCCAAATAGAGAGAGTTTCCCACAATCCCGAATATAAAAACAAATATATATAAAAATATGTTTATACATTTATATAAACAAATCCACAGACACATTTGTACATATGACTCAATATTTCAATATCTTTGAGAAATGTACATCCAAGACTGAACACACCATGCGTCATCAACACAGGTCGACTAAGAGAGGTTATTGAACTATTGAAGCCACCTCTCCTGCCCTCAATCAGGTTTATAGAATACCTCGACTGTAAATACTACATTACCCATGAGCCCTAGCGCCTACTTCTTTGCATAATCCTCCATGATGCCGTCTGATCATTATTTTCCAGGTCAAAATGTATATATATAAAAATATATATAATTCAAACATACTTAATACTTAGAGTTGCCTTTGAGTTGATGGTTTTGGATCAATATTGTGCCCTCCCAGTGTTTGGTGATGTATCTGAAGTTGGGGTTATTTAGTGGCTTTTCTTTGTACTTTTTCTATTAGGGGATCAGATATTTTTGAGTTGTCTGGAACGCAGCATGAATTCATTAAATATTAGCAATGCTTCGTGGCTACAGTCAGAATTAAACAAACTGCAAAATGAACGCAAAACTCATCTAAAATCCCAAAGTGAATTAAAACAAAGAGCAACCAGACCGGTTCCAGGGAAGGGTTAACTGGAGGACTCACAACCCTCCCTCCACCCTCCTGTTACCAGGGAAGGGTTAACTGGAGGACTCACAACCCTCCCTCTACCCTCCTGTTACCAGGGAAGGGTTAACTGGAGGACTCACAACCCTCCCTCTACCCTCATGTTACCAGGGAAGGGTTAACTGGAGGACTCACAACCTTCCCTCTACCCTCCTGTTACCAGGGAAGGGTTAACTGGAGGACTCACAACCCTCCCTCCACCCTCCTGTTACCAGGGAAGGGTTAACTGGAGGACTCACAACCCTCCCTCTACCCTCATGTTACCAGGGAAGGGTTAACTGGAGGACTCACAACCCTCCCTCCACCCTCCTGTTACCAGGGAAGGGTTAACTGGAGGACTCACAACCCTCCCTCTACCCTCCTGTTACCAGAGAAGGGTTAACTGGAGGACTCACAACCCTCCCTCTACCCTCATGTTACCAGGGAAGGGTTAACTGGAGGACTCACAACCCTCCCTCTACCCTCCTGTTACCAGGGAAGGGTTAACTGGAGGACTCACAACCCTCCCTCTACCCTCATGTTACCAGGGAAGGGTTAACTGGAGGACTCACAACCCTCCCTCTACCCTCATGTTACCAGGGAAGGGTTAACTGGAGGACTCACAACCCTCCCTCTACCCTCATGTTACCAGGGAAGGGTTAACTGGAGGACTCACAACCCTCCCTCTACCCTCATGTTACCAGGGAAGGGTTAACTGGAGGACTCACAACCCTCCCTCTACCCTCATGTTACCAGGGAAGGGTTAACTGGAGGACTCACAACCTTCCCTCTACCCTCATGTTACCAGGGAAGGGTTGACTGGAGGACTCACAACCCTCCCTCTACCCTCATGTTACCAGGGAAGGGTTAACTGGAGGACTCACAACCCTCCCTCTACCCTCATGTTACCAGGGAAGGGTTAACTGGAGGACTCACAACCTTCCCTCTACCCTCCTGTTACCAGGGAAGGGTTGACTGGAGGACTCACAACCCTCCCTCTACCCTCATGTTACCAGGGAAGGGTTGACTGGAGGACTCACAACCCTCCCTCTACCCTCATGTTACCAGGGAAGGGTTGACTGGAGGACTCACAACCCTCCCTCTACCCTCATGTTACCAGGGAAGGGTTAACTGGAGGACTCACATGGCCTTCATGTCTCCGATCAGCTCTTGGACTTTGTTCTCTCTGGTCATGAGGTCCCGGACCAGAGCCAGACTCTTCTTGGAGTCTGTCAGAGCTTCGCTGGCGGTCCGCTCCACAGAGTCAGCCGTCGTCTGGTGTCTAAAGGACAACACACAGGAAGTGAGACACACACATCTAACACGGTGTACAACACAAGCTCCTCAACAATATATCAATGACAACTCCAATAAATCATGGGTGGAAAGTAGTTTGTGTCTCTTTGTAGTCATTGTGTGTCTCTTTGTAGTCATTGTGTGTCTCTTTGTAGACATTTTGTGTCTCTTTGTAGTCATTGTGTGTCTCTTTGTAGTCATTGTGTGTCTCTTTGTAGTCATTGTGTGTCTCTTTGTAGACATTTTGTGTCTCTTTGTAGTCATTGTGTGTCTCTTTGTAGTCATTGTGTGTCTCTTTGTAGTCATTGTGTGTCTCTTTGTAGTCATTGTGTGTCTCTTTGTAGTCATTGTGTGTCTCTTTGTAGTCATTTTGTGTCTTTGTAGTCATTGTGTGTGTAGTTGTTGTATCTTTGTTCTACGTCTTGTACAGTAAATGTGAGGTCTTACTTATCAGCCAGACTGAGGGCCGTGGGCACCAGAGAGGAGAGGAGGGTCGTCCCCAGAGGAGCGTCTCCCTGAGGGATGTCCTGACAGGAAGAAGAGACATGATCATCATCATCATCATCATCATCATCATCATCATCATCATCATCATCATCATCATCATCATCATCATCATCATCATCATCAATCATAATTGAGTTCTGATTTAAACCAGTTTCCTAAAAGGCCATTGCTTGGTGTGCGAGCTGCTCCAGCTTATCACCGTACACGATGCACACACTTCAGCTAACATTGTGTAGATTTACGATCTCTATATTTGTGTTATAATGTCTCAGGTCTTACGGCTGATCTGAGGTCGGCCTTGGCTTTGTCCAGTTTTCTCTTCATGTCCTCCATCAGAGCCTGGACCTCCTTCACCTTGGCGCTGTACGTCCGCTCTTGTTGTTTGATGTCGTCCGCTGCGTCGACCACGTTTTGGATCTCCTGCTCCTCGTCCAGCTGACTCCTGCTGATGGACGCCAGACGCGCCTGCAGCTTCTTCTCCGCCACTGTTGGACGCAGGAAGACATTTTGTTGGGTTTTATATTACAAATGAGAACAACTAACGTAAAAGAAGACGTCCTGTAGGTCTGTATTAGTCCCCAGAGAGCCCAGTACGACAAAGAGCCTCAGGTAAGCCAGGATGTTGGATGACTGAATGGATGGGTCGAGAACTAATTATCCAATCATGTCAAAACCAAATTTCAATCACCACAAATGACCTTTTTTAGAAGTGTTAATTATGTCAAATGTATTTGTGTATCTGACACGTGTTATTATGTCTTGGGGCACACATGTCACAGTAGGAGAATTTAAATTGAAAAAGGGAACAATTATTAAAAATAAAGGAAATATTATTAAAAGAAATATGGTTCACATAAACACAAGGAGCAAATCATGAACATTTAAAATACGTATAAAACATAATTAAAACATTTGATAATGTGCAAATAATAAGAGGTATGTGCAAAGGTTCACAGTGTGAGGGAGAGTTTGTAATGTACAGAGATATATTCCCAGAGAAGAGCGTTAATGCGTTAAAGGGCCCACGGTCTTTTTGAGCGATACGAACAGAATGATTTTGTTCACCGATGTTTGGTGATGGTGAAGAGCTGTCTCACCTGTGAGCCCCTCGGTCTCGTACTGCAGGTCGTCCACCAGCTCCTCCACAGCGTTCAGAGCCGCCTCCATCTCTGCCTTGTTGGCGGGTTTCAAACCTGCGTCCATCTCTGAGAACAGACGCTCCAGCTCGGCCAGCTTGGCAGCGTAGGCCTGCATCTGGAAGGTAAGGTAGTAAGGTAAGGTAAGGTAAGGTAAGGTAAGGTAGTAAGGTAAGGTAGTAAGGTAAGGTAGGTAAGGTAAGGTAGTAAGGTAAGGTATGGTAAGGTATGGTAAGGTAAGGTAAGGTAAGGTAAGGTAAGGTATGGTAAGGTATGGTAAGGTATGGTATGGTAAGGTAAGGTAAGGTATGGTAAGGTATGGTAAGGTATGGTAAGGTAAAGTAAGGTAAGGTAAGGTAAGGTAAGGTAAGGTAAGGTAAGGTAAGGTATGGTAAAGTAAGGTAAGGTAAGGTAAGGTAAAGTAAGGTAAGGTAAGGTAAGGTATGGTAAGGTATGGTAAGGTATGGTATGGTAAGGTAAGGTAAGGTATGGTAAGGTATGGTAAGGTATGGTAAGGTAAAGTAAGGTAAAGTAAGGTAAGGTAAGGTAAGGTAAGGTAAGGTAAGGTATGGTAAGGTAAGGTATGGTAAGGTATGGTAAGGTATGGTAAGGTAAGGTATGGTAAGGTAAAGTAAGGTAAGGTAAGGTAAGGTATGGTAAGGTATGGTAAGGTATGGTAAGGTAGTAAGGTATGGTAAGGTAGTAGGGTAAGGTAAGGTATGGTAAGGTATGGTAAGGTATGGTAAGGTATGGTAAGGTAAAGTAAGGTAAGGTAAGGTAAGGTAAGGTAAGGTATGGTAAGGTAAGGTAAGGTATGGTATGGTAAGGTAAGGTATGGTAAGGTATGGTAAGGTATGGTAAGGTAAGGTATGGTAAGGTAAAGTAAGGTAAGGTAAGGTAAGGTATGGTAAGGTATGGTAAGGTATGGTAAGGTATGGTAAGGTATGGTAAGGTAAGGTATGGTAAGGTATGGTAAGGTAAAGTAAGGTAAGGTAAGGTAAGGTATGGTAAGGTATGGTAAGGTATGGTAAGGTGAAGTAAGGTAAGGTATGGTAAGGTATGGTAAGGTATGGTAAGGTAAGGTATGGTAAGGTATGGTAAGGTAAGGTAAGGTAAGGTAAGGTATGGTAAGGTATGGTAAGGTATATGGTATGGTAAGGTAAGGTAAGGTAGTAAGGTATGGTAAGGTATGGTAAGGTATGGTAAGGTATGGTAAGGTAAGGTAAGGTATGGTAAGGTATGGTAAGGTATGGTAAGGTATACTTTTACGTGTTTTCAAACATGATGTCCTGCCCCGTGAATGCAGACATTAATCTCTACAGTCTTTATAACTCATACATGTTGTAAATGTTATTAATGCACTCTCTCTGTTGAAGGAATACACTGAACTGAATGAAGCAGATGTTTGGTACCTTTCTCTTGATGGGGGTGAAACAGGCGGGGCAGTTGGACCTCTGGCACTTCAGACCCTCGAAGCCTGGCCGGCACCGGCAGCGACCCGAATCATCACACTGTCCGGACTCAGAGCCCAGAACACTGCAGTCACACGCTGAACAGAACCAGAGAGGAACATATTAACACTGCAGTCACAGGCTGAACAGAACCAGAGAGGAACACATTAACACTGCAGTCACAGGCTGAACAGAACCAGAGAGGAACACTTTAACACTGCAGTCACAGGCTGAACAGAACCAGAGAGGAACACATTAACACTGCAGTCACACGCTGAACAGAACCAGAGAGGAACACTGCAGTCACACGCTGAACAGAACCAGAGAGGAACACTGCAGTCACACGCTGAACAGAACCAGAGAGGAACACTGCAGTCACACGCTGAACAGAACCAGAGAGGAACACTGCAGTCACACGCTGAACAGAACCAGAGAGGAACACTGCAGTCACACACTGAACAGAACCAGAGAGGAACACTTTAACACTGCAGTCACAGGCTGAACAGAACCAGAGAGGAACACATTAACACTGCAGTCACACGCTGAACAGAACCAGAGAGGAACACTGCAGTCACACGCTGAACAGAACCAGAGAGGAACACTGCAGTCACACGCTGAACAGAACCAGAGAGGAACACTGCAGTCACACGCTGAACAGAACCAGAGAGGAACACTGCAGTCACACGCTGAACAGAACCAGAGAGGAACACTGCAGTCACACGTTGAACAGAACCAGAGAGGAACACTGCAGTCACACGTTGAACAGAACCAGAGAGGAACCCTTTAACACTGCAGTCACACGCTGAACAGAACCAGAGAGGAACCCTTTAACACTGCAGTCACACGCTGAACAGAACCAGAGAGGAACCCTTTAACACTGCAGTCACACACTGAACAGAACCAGAGAGGAACCCTTTAACACTGCAGTCACACGCTGAACAGAACCAGAGAGGAACCCTTTAACACTGCAGTCACATGCTGAACAGAACCAGAGAGGAACCCTTTAACACTGCAGTCACACGCTGAACAGAACCAGAGAGGAACCCTTTAACACTGCAGTCACACGCTGAACAGAACCAGAGAGGAACACATTAACACTGCAGTCACATGCTGAACAGAACCAGAGAGGAACCCTTTAACACTGCAGTCACACGCTGAACAGAACCAGAGAGGATCATATTAACACTGCAGTCACAGGCTGAACAGAACCAGAGAGGAACCCTTTAACACTGCAGTCACACGCTGAACAGAACCAGAGAGGAATACATTAACACTGCAGTCACATGCTGAACAGAACCAGAGAGGAACCCTTTAACACTGCAGTCACACGCTGAACAGAACCAGAGAGGAACCCTTTAACACTGCAGTCACAGGCTGAACAGAACCAGAGAGGAACCCTTTAACACTGCAGTCACACGCTGAACAGAACCAGAGAGGAACCCTTTAACACTGCAGTCACAGGCTGAACAGAACCAGAGAGGAACACTGCAGTCACACGCTGAACAGAACCAGAGAGGAACACTGCAGTCACAGGCTGAACAGAACCAGAGAGGAACACTGCAGTCACACGCTGAACAGAACCAGAGAGGAACACTGCAGTCACACGCTGAACAGAACCAGAGAGGAATACATTAACACTGCAGTCACATGCTGAACAGAACCAGAGAGGAACCCTTTAACACTGCAGTCACACGCTGAACAGAACCAGAGAGGAACCCTTTAACACTGCAGTCACAGGCTGAACAGAACCAGAGAGGAACACTGCAGTCACACGCTGAACAGAACCAGAGAGGAACACTGCAGTCACAGGCTGAACAGAACCAGAGAGGAACACTGCAGTCACACGCTGAACAGAACCAGAGAGGAACACTGCAGTCACACGCTGAACAGAACCAGAGAGGAACACTGCAGTCACAGGCTGAACAGAACCAGAGAGGAACACTGCAGTCACACGCTGAACAGAACCAGAGAGGAACACTGCAGTCACACGCTGAACAGAACCAGAGAGGAACACTGCAGTCACACGCTGAACAGAACCAGAGAGGAACCCTGCAGTCACACGCTGAACAGAACCAGAGAGGAACACTGCAGTCACACGCTGAACAGAACCAGAGAGGAACACTGCAGTCACACGCTGAACAGAACCAGAGAGGAACACTGCAGTCACAGGCTGAACAGAACCAGAGAGGAACACTGCAGTCACACGCTGAACAGAACCAGAGAGGAACACTGCAGTCACACGCTGAACAGAACCAGAGAGGAACACTGCAGTCACACGCTGAACAGAACCAGAGAGGAACACTGCAGTCACACGCTGAACAGAACCAGAGAGGAACACTGCAGTCACACGCTGAACAGAACCAGAGAGGAACACTGCAGTCACACGCTGAACAGAACCAGAGAGGAACACTGCAGTCACAGGCTGAACAGAACCAGAGAGGAACCCTGCAGTCACACGCTGAACAGAACCAGAGAGGAACACTGCAGTCACACGCTGAACAGAACCAGAGAGGAACACTTTAATAACAGCTGTTTTTAGTGCGAAACATTACTTTTTGTAACAACAAAACAATGAACTTGATTTTCCTCTGTCATTAAACTTCCAAACTGGCTTCCCGCTCACACTGGACCATCTAATGCAGTAACACACATGTATTGAAAATATATGAAAATATTGAAGATAAGATGTTTATCGAATGAGCACCTTTTTTATTTGAACTCATCACAGTGTATTTATCTCACGCTGACTGATCTTCTTTTAAATGTAGAAAAGAATCTCCACTACCTCTGCAGTTCTCCAAAGTACCCCTAGGTGTAGCTTTAGAGCAGCGGTTCCCAACCTGTGGGCGCATTGCAAGTGGGCCGCCAAATACAGTGGTCTGTACAACTGGATTAACAACGTGTCACATGTTCTGAATTGACCAATCAGAACTTTATTTAGCCTCCGTATTGTTTATGGTTGAATGTGGGCCACGAACATTTTTTAGATTCCAAAGTGGGCCCTGAGTTGAAAAAGGTTGGTAACCGCTGCTTTAGAGAAACACCAAACTAATCAAAGACTTTGTACAGAATCATCGGGGGTCCTGTCCTCACCCTTGCAGGCGTCGGCGGCCCGGCTGTGGTAGAACCCTCGCAGACAGGACTCGCAGCTGGGACCATTGGTGTTGTTCACACACTTCAGACACTCTCCGCTGCCTCGATGGCAGCTCCCCACCACACTGACGTCGATGTGTCCGTTACACTGGCAGGGTCTGCAGGTCTGCGTCGACACGCCGTCACCCCGAGCAGCGCCGCCGTAAAACCCCTCCTGACAGACGTTACAGTCATCACCTGAGGGAGCAGAGACAGGGTTATGATAATAATAATAATACTTTTGCTACTGTTAAAATAATCTATAATTATCTTCTTAAAAAACTCGACATCATGTTTTCAAACTGGCAGTTAAAGGGTTAAAATCCTGAACATAATTGAATATTTGGTATTTTTTATTAGGGCTGAAGTTGATTGAAAGATTGAACCCAAAAAAGTGGTGAAAGAAATATTTTAATATAATGTTTTTATCAAAGTTTTTGGCAGTGGGTATTTTTGTCCCGAATGACTAATTAGTAGATTTGAATGATACCGGAGGGTTAAGGGACTATAGGGTTCCCCTAGAACTCGTACCTGTGGTTCCTGCAGGGCAGCGGTCACAGCGGGGATCCAGAGACCCAGCAGCCAGCGAGCAGGACCTTCCCTCCGGACAGGGGCACTTCAGGCAGGCTCTTGGGGGCCACGGGTCTCGGTAGGACCCGGCGGAGCAGTCTCCGGACGACTGGTCCCCGGAGTAGCAGTCCCCGGTCAGCGGGTCGCAGCTCCCCCCCCGGCAGCTGCAGGGCTCACAGGGGCTGAAGGCTCCGTCTGCGGGGGCGCTGCGTCTGAACCCCGCCGAGCATCCATCGCAGAAGTCCCCGTCGTACCCGGTCGGGCAGCTGCAGGTCTGGACCCAGCCAGCAGGGGGACCAGCACCCCGATGAGCTGATACCAGGCGCACGTTGTTCAGGTAGCCGCGCCCTGGAAACAGTTTAGAAACCCAGATCAACTTCACACAGATATCCAGCTGGAAAACACTTAATGAAAACACTTAATGAAAACACTTAATGAAAACACTTAATGAAAACACTTAATGAAAACACTCATGGAGAGCTCGGTGTGACTCCTGAGGTTAAAAACACGCCAACACTTCGTTGCTTTTTATTTTCAGCTTGCATCTGATTTGAGCTCGTTCTGTATTTCCCCTGCAGGCGATAACGGTTTTATTCTTTCGTTTAGAGACAGATGGTCTGCAACATTAAAGATGAACGGCAGCAGGGAGTCAGTAGGGGCTTGGACTGGGAGCCGGTTCAAGTCCCCGACCAGACCTAAATATGGAGTGTGGACTGCTACTTGGAGAGGTCCCAGTTCACCTCCTGGGCCCTGCCGTGGTGCCCTTGAGCAAGGCACCAGACACCCCCCCCCCACTCCCATTGCTCCCTGGGCGCTGTGCAATAGCTGCCCACTGCCCCTGGTACTAGACCCCTGGTTCTAGACTCCTGGTTCTAGACTCCTGGTTCTAGACTCCTGGTTCTAGACTCCTGGTTCTAGACTCCTGGTTCTAGATTCCTGGTTCTAGACCCCTGGTTCTAGACTCCTGGTTCTAGACTCCTGGTTCTAGACTCCTGGTTCTAGACCCCTGGTTCTAGGGTGGGTTCAAAGCAGAGAACACATGTCACTGAGTGCTCTGCATGTGAGACATTACAGAGGGGTTCATCCCTCCTATTCTCTTCTCTATGAAAGTTTTTCCTCATAGAGAAGTTAGAACTTGAGCTAAAGGTTAAAGGTTACTGTTTATCTCGACAAAGCTTTGTAGGCTTCTAAATATAAAGATGGCTCTGGGTTCTGCATTATCATTTGTCGATGAAATATGATTTATAAAAAGAGTTATGAAATGAAAGAGTTTGAATCAAAAGAAAGGAACCAAGTCTCCAGGAATAGAGGACATAACTGAAGAGGAAGTATGAAACAGGAAGCTCACCATTCTCTCCGAACGTGACCCTGATCTTGATGGCGGTGAGGTTCTGGAGGAGCGAGTGGAACTGAGCGGAGGAGATCTGAGGCCTCCAGCGGCTGCTGGGCTGCTCGTCCAGTCTGTACACGGGAACATCATGTTAGCATCCAACAAGACAGCTGCAAAGGTTTGTATTGCCAGATTCACTGCTCTCATCATTTCAATATGAGTTGTTATTGACCCCCTGTGGTTAGACCATGTGGACCTGGGTTCATCAGCTCATCAGACTCAATATAAAAACATCAATGACGTGTTTTTTTAAGCAGAGAGGCTGCTCTCATACAGCTGGACACATCACTGTACACTCTTTCATATAGGTTTTTAGATAAAGTCATCACATATTGGTGGTTAGTGCCTCTCCTGAACAACAGTTAACACACTCCGATCTAAAAAACAGTTTCTTTGGCAAGTAGAGGAACCTGCCAGTTTGATCAACCTTCCTTACACAGCAGGTTCCTTTACAGGTTCCTCTACTGCAGGTTCCTCTGCAGGTTCCTCTGCAGGTTCCTTTACAGGTTCCTCTACTACATGTTCCTCTGCAGGTTCCTCTGCAGGTTCCTCTGCAGGTTCCTCGTGGTTCTACCTGAAGCTGTAGTGGACCTTCTGTCCGCAGGGCACGATGGACCTCAGCTCTCCCAGAGAAGCCGTCACTTTGAGGCCGTTTCCCTCCAGAATCACATCGCTGACGGACGGGTGACGGACGCCTCGGTCCAGACGCAACGAGAAGGAGAAGTTCTGACCGTAACTCAGCAGCCGGTTCCCCAGGTAACGAGCTGAGGAGAGAGACACCTGGTCAGGGAGGGAGGGAACAAGGGGGGAGGAGAGGAAAGGGAAGGGAAGGAAAAGAAAGGAATGGAAAGGAAAGAAGGATAGGTAAAGACCATCGGAGAGGAGACGAAAGGAGAGAAGGAAAGGAAGGAGTGACGTACTTATCTTATCCCATACACTCCTTTCCTATCGTATGTGCAAAGAGCTTCAGAGATCAGACGAAAGGAGAGAAGGAAAGGAAACAATAAGAGAGATTGGAAGAGGAGATAAGATGAAGATGGAGGAAGTGAACAGGAGAGGAAGATGAGATAGGAGGAGGATGAGGAGGAGGTGTTTCTCACCTGGAGCGTACAGGTAGACCGGCAGGCTGTTCTTGGAGATCACCTCCAGGTCCTGGTGTTTAGGAGACCAGCGGAAGTGAACGTCGGGGGGCGTGTCGCCTCGAGCCGTCGCTGCTCTCCAACCGTCCGGACCTGGAACACAACACAGTCCGTCACAGGTGCTTTTATTTTGAAATTTAACCCAGAAATCCACTGTTAATTTATGAACATTTTGGGGTCTTTTATTTTGAAATTGGCCCCAGTATCCACTCTTAACTATTGAAAGTGTTAGGGGGTCTTTTATTTTGAAATTTAACCCAGAATCCATTGTTAACTACTGAAAGTGTTAGGCGGTCTTTTACTTTGAAATTTAACCCAGAAATCCACTGTTAATTTATGAACATTTTGGGGTCTTTTATTTTGAAATTGAAACCAGAATCCTTTGTTAATTTATGAAATTGTTGACTTCAAATTGTCAGGGCAGTCTTTTATTTTGAAAATGATACTAGAATCCTTTGATCATTTATGAGATTGTGGACTTGAAATTGAGAGATTTTATTGTTAATTTATGAAATTGTCACTGGGGTCTTTTATTTTGAAATTGAAACCAGTATCCCCTTTTAACTGCTAAATTTGTCAGGGGAAACCATAAATACACTGTTAATTTATGAAAATGTTGGGGTCTTTTATTTTGAAATTGGCCCCAGAAACCCATTTTACACCGTTTTAAATTGAAAAAAGGTGTTCTTTTATTGTGAAAGGGGAGGGGTGAAAGGTTACCGCTGGCGAAGGTGGAGGTGATGTTGTGGACGGAGTATCCGGACTTTGCAGAGCAGCGGCTACTGTGACCGTAACAGAAACAATTCCCAGAATCCTGTCTGGGCTGACGGCTGAAAGAAAACACAACGAGCGAACAGGAAGTGAGACCAGACGGTGACGACGAAACACAAACAGGAAATCAGGACTCAAACCTCCAGACAGTTTCATCCCACAGACAATAAGACTGTTGACCACCTGAACTCTGTGAAGAACATCCAGAACATTCATCTGTTTGCTAATTATTCATCTAATATATATTCCATTTACTTGTAAACTCTTCTTGCACTTGTATTAACCCTGCACGTCTCAAAACATTCTCTTGCTCTGTTTTATCTGTTTCATCTGTTTCATCTGTTTCATGTCCTATATATATTCATGTTGCTCTGTTGGAGGAGGACTTCAGTTTTTCATCTCCATATCCACACTGATGCTGCTGAGCACATGATGATAGAGACTTGAATCTTGAATATTCCAGAAAAATGTCAGAATTTTCAGAGAAAGTCAGCATTTTGAGAAAAAGTCAGAATTTTGAGAAAAAGTCAGGATTTTGGGAAAAAAAGTCAGGATTTTGAGAAAAAGTCAGAATTTTAAGAATTTTGAGATAAAGTCAGCATTTTGAGAAAAAGTCAGGATTTTGAGAAAAAGTCAAAATTTTCTGAAAAAAGTCAGGGTTTTTTAGATTTTCAGAATTTTGAGATGTTGAGAACAATTTTGGTAATTAAAGTGCATTATTTAAAGAGTTATCAGTGTGAGTTTCTTCACCTCTGCTTGCAGCCGGTGGCTCCGATTGGTCCGTCTGGGCAGCGGTCACATTTGTCTCCTGTGACGCCGTCTTTGCAGCTGCAGCGCCCCCTGCTGTCACACGTGGTACTGACAGCACCTGGAGGCAGAGACACAGGTGAGCCGGTGTTGATTGCCATATTGATAGGATTAATGCAGTGAAAATGAAAATTATTTTAATTACATTACATTTCATTTAGCTGACGCTTTTATCCAAAGCAACTTACAATGACCAATTACAGGGACATTCTCCCTGGAGTAACTGAGGGCTAAGTGCCTTACTCAAGGGCACACTAGTGGTGGTGTTCCAGGCGGGATTTGAACTCACAATCTTCAGCCCACCTCACTATCCATTAGACCACCACTACCCCTTAATGAAATATAATGTTGTTAATCAGCAACTGTGAGAGGAAAGAATACAGGGTTTTTTCATTGTGGAACTTCACCCTAAAAGCTAATAATTTGGTGTTGCAACTAAAGGGGGAAGTTGAGGTTTAACCAGCGAACAGGAAGTTAGTCAAAACAAAGATTTAAATATATATATCGCAATATATCGTATCGCAATACTTAGCATATCGTAGAATCGCAATACTATCGTATCGTGGCTTATGTATCGCGATAGTATCGTATCGTGGGGAGCCTGGTGATTCCCACCCCTAGTTAATATATAATAAAATGTAAGACCTACAGTCCTCTCAGAGTCTCTCACCTGTGGGGTTGCAGCGGCAGGGCGTGCAGCTCGGCAGCGCCCCCTGCTGGTGGAAGCCGTCCTTGCAGCGCTCGCAGTGGCGACCCTCAAAATGTCCCTGGCAGTCGACGCAGTGCAGCCCCCCGGCGTCTCGCAGGCAGTACCTGGAGCGGCCATTACAGTCGCAGCGCACCGTCGCTAAAGAAAGAGGAGAAGAAGAAATTATTAATGAAGAGACGGGGTGTTTCTCAATCGCGAGTAAAGCTGCTTCAGAGCCACTATTTCAAGCATACTACGTCATCGAGTGCCGCCTAAGTACTGTTCCAATCTCCAGCATACTTGGAAATCTACCGAGCCCGGCATACTCCGTTTGGAGAAATATCGAGGCTGCACATGAGTAGACTTCGCGGTCTTAAAATCCCCACAATGCTTTGCGCACGGACCAATTTCCCCAAATCTGTGGCGGAAGATGTAAGGCGGGGCCTCTCATATGACGCACACCTGCACACTTGCTAGCCTGTTCCACTCTTTGTTTTCCGAATGTCAGGAAGTATTCTTGACTCGCTACCAAGCAAGCATACTCGCGATTGAGAAACACCCCTGGTTCAGAAAATATGAGTTTCTCACTGCATGCTTTTCACTCCGGTTACTGAGGAGGAGGAAGCTGCAAAGTTCTCATAGTGATGTTTTGAAAGTTGTAAAGCTGAACAACTGTCTCTGTTGTTGGAAATGTTTTATGGTCTTATTTGAACAATGTGATCACATGACTCCTTCTGATGTTACTGCAGATCTGCTGTAAGCTAGCTAGCTAACGTAGCTAACCTAGTCATTTACACTCTTTAGTGTCCCCTGGTCTCCCAGCTGTGTGCGTCACTTTTTAGTGTCCCCCACTTTACAGAAGCACGTTAACCCATAAACTACATGTCCCACAATGCATCTCGTTTTGTGACATGTGCACTGAAGAGACTTGCAATCATTTGCCCTAGACTTCTGCTTTCAGACGTAGTTCATTCTGAAGTTATTACCCTATCAAATAATAATCCAATGCAGAGGCAATAATGTAATATAATAAAAAATGTTATACATATTATTATATGTGTAAAGTTATATAGTCTTAAAGTTACAAACAGCCCTTTGAGTGCAACCATAATGCTGATGTGGCCCGCGGTGAAAATTGAGTTTGACACCTCTGTGCTAACTCATGCTTAAAGCTAAATGTCCTCCTGCGTTGCTCATCCTCTGCATTCAACACCAACAACAGCTTCCCTGAGCAGTGTGTGTATGATACATTTAGAGACGGTGTAATTACAGAGCGTTACTGAAGGTGGAGGCAGGTGACCTGAGGTTAGTTCAGATAAATCACATCCTGAGAGTCACACCCAGAGGGAGCAGGGGATCCAGTCTGAACACGCCGCTGCACCAAGTCTTTCCACCGTCTGGACGATGACGTGTTATGAAAGACAAATGGACTTCATATTTAGTTTGGGATTCCTCCAGGGCTGGGAGGGGTATGACAATATGAAAGTATCTGAAACCTTCCTTTTGGAATACCTCTATATCAAATGCATGCACATAAATAAAAGAGAAAATAGGTGTTGTTTACTGAATGATCAGAAAAGAAGAAAACCCAAGATATTTAGGATCAGAAATGTGTCCTATCAGAGATTTACTAGAAACATACGCGCTCCTATTGGCTAGCGCACATTCTACATGAGGGGACAGGACATCTCTAAGTGGTTGACCAATCACAACAGAGCCGGCCAGCTAGCCAATCAGAGCAGACTGGGCTCTGGTTTCAGACAGAGGGTGAAAAGAGGTGCTGCAGCACAGGCAGTATGCGAACAATAAAGAGCTTTTTGAACATTAGAGCATGGAGACATGTAGAGACACTACATACTGATATACACCTGAACATCAGCAGGAGAGGACTCTTTAAAGTAGAGACACTACATACTGATATACACCTGAACATCAGCAGGAGAGGACTCTTTAAAGTAGAGACACTACATACTGATATACACCTGAACATCAGCAGGAGAGGACTCTTTAAAGTAGAGACACTACATACTGATATACACCTGAACATCAGCAGGAGAGGACTCTTTAAAGTAGAGACACTACATACTGATATACACCTGAACATCAGCAGGAGAGGACTCTTTAAAGTAGAGACACTACATACTGATATACACCTGAACATCAGCAGGAGAGGACTCTTTAAAGTAGAGACACTACATACTGATATACACCTGAACATCAGCAGGAGAGGACTCTTTAAAGTAGAGACACTACATACTGATATACACCTGAACATCAGCAGGAGAGGACTCTTTAAAGTAGAGACACTACATACTGATATACACCTGAACATCAGCAGGAGAGGACTCTTTAAAGTAGAGACACTACATACTGATATACACCTGAACATCAGCAGGAGAGGACTCTTTAAAGTAGAGACACTACATACTGATATACACCTGAACATCAGCAGGAGAGGACTCTTTAAAGTAGAGACACTACATACTGATATACACCTGAACATCAGCAGGAGAGGACTCTTTAAAGTAGAGACACTACATACTGATATACACCTGAACATCAGCAGGAGAGGACTCTTTAAAGTAGAGACACTACATACTGATATACACCTGAACATCAGCAGGAGAGGACTCTTTAAAGTAGAGACACTACATACTGATATACACCTGAACATCAGCAGGAGAGGACTCTTTAAAGTAGAGACACTACATACTGATATACACCTGAACATCAGCAGGAGAGGACTCTTTAAAGTAGAGACACTACATACTGATATACACCTGAACATCAGCAGGAGAGGACTCTTTAAAGTAGAGACACTACATACTGATATACACCTGAACATCAGCAGGAGAGGACTCTTTAAAGTAGAGACACTACATACTGATATACACCTGAACATCAGCAGGAGAGGACTCTTTAAAGTAGAGACACTACATACTGATATACACCTGAACATCAGCAGGAGAGGACTCTTTAAAGTAGAGACACTACATACTGATATACACCTGAACATCAGCAGGAGAGGACTCTTTAAAGTAGAGACACTACATACTGATATACACCTGAACATCAGCAGGAGAGGACTCTTTAAAGTAGAGACACTACATACTGATATACACCTGAACATCAGCAGGAGAGGACTCTTTAAAGTAGAGACACTACATACTGATATACACCTGAACATCAGCAGGAGAGGACTCTTTAAAGTAGAGACACTACATACTGATATACACCTGAACATCAGCAGGAGAGGACTCTTTAAAGTAGAGACACTACATACTGATATACACCTGAACATCAGCAGGAGAGGACTCTTTAAAGTAGAGACACTACATACTGATATACACCTGAACATCAGCAGGAGAGGACTCTTTAAAGTAGAGACACTACATACTGATATACACCTGAACATCAGCAGGAGAGGACTCTTTAAAGTAGAGACACTACATACTGATATACACCTGAACATCAGCAGGAGAGGACTCTTTAAAGTAGAGAAACTACATACATGATATACACCTGAACATCAGCAGGAGAGGACTCTTTAAAGTAGAGAGGCTACATACTGATTATACACCTGAACATCAGCAGGAGAGGACTCTTTAAAGTAGAGACACTACATATGATATACACCTCTGAACATCAGCAGGAGAGGACTCTTTAAAGTAGAGAGCACCTACATAACTGATGTACACCGGAACCATCAGCAGGAGAGGACTCTCTTTAAAGTAGAGACACTACATACTGATGTACAACCTGACACATCAGCAGGAGGAGGGGACTCTTTAAAGTAGAGACACTACATACTGAATTACACCCTGAACCATCAGCAGGAGAGGACTCTTTAAAGTAAGTAGAGACCCACTAACATACCTGAATATACCACCCTGAACATCAGCATGCAGGAGGAGCCTCTTTAAAGAGTAGAGACACTACATACTGATATACACCTGAACATCAGCAGGAGAGGACTCTTTAAAGTAGAGACACTACATACTGATATACACCTGAACATCAGCAGGAGAGGACTCTTTAAAGTAGAGACACTACATACTGATATACACCTGAACATCAGCAGGAGAGGACTCTTTAAAGTAGAGACACTACATACTGATATACACCTGAACATCAGCAGGAGAGGACTCTTTAAAGTAGAGACACTACATACTGATATACACCTGAACATCAGCAGGAGAGGACTCTTTAAAGTAGAGACACTACACACTGATGGTGCGTTTAAGGTGCGTCTGTTTATCCCGGTGTCTGATGCTTCCTGACTCACCTAATGTTTACCTGAGTGCAGGTATGACAGATCCTGACACGAGTCTGAGTCTAAACTCTTGTCCGGAGGGCAGACACACCCAACACACCGCAGGATCCTCCATGTGTACAATGTGAATCTTCACATTTATTGTTTGATAAACAGTATCAAAAATATAAATCTGTACATAATATCTTGTTTATTTCTACAATTATTGTTCAGCTTTGTTACTCGCTGTATTTCAGAGTTATTATATAGAGAGCAGTGCAAGTTTTGTGGTTTTTCTTTCAATTAAAACCAGATTGATTTGATAGCTGTTTTAAAAAAACCTTAGATAGTGACCATTCTTTATAACACACTAACACTCATCAATTATCAAATACATGTCCAGGTTAATTACAATATATAATAAGCGTAATTTCTGTCCTTATGCATTTATTATAAAATACCATTTGGGTAATACAAATACATCTAATCATATAAATATATATTATTAGTTATATTACAATGAGATAGTGATCATTAGATATAACAGAATGATGGTGCTTCAATCATCAGATAAACGTTCAGGTTAAAAAGATAATTAAAGTAATTTCTCTCATTATATATATCTTTTATAAATACTATTTGAGTTGAGTTTGAGTTTTTTTATTATTATATTAATTTATATAATGATGTGGTAGACATGGGAACAAAGCAGAGATCGTGATCAGCTGTAACAGACTTACAGTAACCAGCCATTATAACAAATACATACAATTATAAAGAGAATTGTACAAATGTAGAGCTTCAAATACACGTCCAGGTTCATTAAAAATACATCCGATTAATTAAGGTTAAATCTACAGAAACAAGTGAGTCAAATAAACCATTACATTTAGATTTGAAAGGTTGTTCTTTCCTCTGAGACCTGAGACAAACAGCCAGTCTCACCTCAACATGAAAGCTACAGGTAAACAGCTTCAGGTACTCACAGTAAAATGTGTGTGTGGCCTGCACGGCACACACTGCAGCCAGTAGTCCACACACTGAGATCCAGCTGGTCCTCATGGTGTGTGTGAGAGTGTGTGTGAGAGTGTGTGTGAGAGTGTGTGTGAATCCTGTAAATATGGAGAGAGAAACTCCGGAGAGGCTTTATATCTCCTCTCTGCTGCAGGCCTCGACACGCCGCATACTGACACACACAAACACACACACTTACTCACATGTGACACACACAGACACAGGATATGACTCTCTCTGTGTGTGTGTGTGTGTGTGTGTGTGTGTGTGTGTGTGTGTGTGTGTGTGTGTGTGTGTGTGTGTGTGTGTGTGTGTGTGTGTGTGTGTGTGTGTGGGGCGTTGTTCCTGACGTTCACTGCAGACTCTATTTACATGTTGAGGACACAAAGACGTTTAAGAGACAGAAATACAGACTTGGACGGCGCTGCGAGCTTTTCCCCTTAAACTCCCCCATGGCAACTGTAACCGCCACCCCCCACCACCCCCCCCCCCCCCCCGACTGCAAGAGGATTCATAGGAATGTACTGTAAGACACAAGAAACACTTAGTAATCTGCACAACACCACAATACACCATATTTACTTTAAAGGCTGCAGCATAAAAACCCTTAAGTTCTTTAAAAGTTTCCTTAAGTATGAAGGCCTAAAAATTAAGGATTCACAGGAATGTACTGTAAGAAACAAGAAACACTTAGCCTCGCTCTGTTTCTCACGGAAACTTCTCTCACTCAGACTCTCAGATCGCTGCAGCTGCTGCACGCTGACCGGCTGCTGCACGCTGACCGGCTGCGCGCTGACCGGCTGCACGCTGACCGGCTGCGCGCTGACCGGCTGCGCGCTGACCGGCTGCGCGCTGACCGGCTGCGCGGTGACCGGCTGCGCGCTGACCGGCTGCGCGCTGACCGGCTGCGCGCTGACCGGCTGCGCGGTGACCGGCTGCGCGCTGACCGGCTGCGCGCTGACCGGCTGCGCGGTGACCGGCTGCGCGCTGACCGGCTGCACGCTGACCGGCTGCACGCTGACCGGCTGTAATACAAGCATAACACATGATCAGGTTATCTGGATTGATCCGTCTTTATTTGGTGTCATGAAGGTTCAAACGTCCTCATAAAAACAGCCCAGAGCTTCAGAGAGATGCCTGATTCAAAAATACACATCTAACCGTTTATGAAAAAAGTGAAATAGACGGAGGATAAGAAAAAGGGTTTCATCTTTTAGTAAATAATTATGTAAAAAAAACCGGATTTAATCACTTATTGCTTTGCCCCTAAAGAAAGGAAAAATAATCTTTATGGCACATGATTAAAGATTTAGAAAGACATTTGAATCAGAGATCATTTATTTCAAATTGGATTTTATTTAATGTTGTCCACATAATTAAAATTAAATTAAATGTAAATACATCCTAATATTACTGTACCTATAGTACTGTAAAAATAATTATGATATCATAAATAATAATAGTTATAATCACCAGATTTCTCTATTTTTTTTAGAAATGTCTGGGCTCTGATTGTTTGTGAGTTTATTAAAACATGAAATTTCCACCGTTGTGTAAACTTTGTCCTGAGGCTGCAGATATGACTGAGCAGCAGACACACCCTGCACCTCAGACACACACACACACACACACACACACACACACACACACACACACACACACACACACACACACACACACACACACACACACACACACACACACACACACACACACACACACACACACACACCCTCACACACACACACACACACAACACACACACACCCTGCCAGTACCTGGTTACACATAAACACTTTCCCAACCTCTGATCCACACTAAAACACAGCCGCAGGTCATAATAATCACACACACACACACTGACACACAGCCACGCCTGTCTTGTTCCTGTTGCCGTGTCAACGCCACACCTTGAACACACACGTTTCCAACACTGAGCTGCATTTCTCAACTCTGACTTCACTTTCTAGCTGAACACACATTTTACTGCAAGTACCTGAAGTAGTGGCTTCTAGTCTTCTACAGGGGGTATCTCTTTGTTTCAGTCCATACATCTGAACATACTGACATACAAAGCAATTTCCTGCATGTTTCAGTAATAAAGTGTGTATGAATGAGTGAGTGAATGGTGTGTGTACGTGTATCAGAATATAGAGAGGAATGACAGTGGACAGTATGGTGTGTGAGAGAGGAGACGTCCTTTAAAGATGTTAGACTCATACCTGCTGTACACACTACAGGTGAATAGGGTAACAACTGTAACTGTGAACCACACACACACACACACACACACACACACACACACACACACACACACACACACACACACACACACACATACACACACACATACACACACACACACACACACACACACACACACACACACACACACACACACACACACACACACACACACACACACACACACACACACACACACACACACACACACACACACACACAATTCATTACTGACATTAACACAATTATCTTTCATATTACCATTTTTCTAACAGGTAATGTTAAATATGCTAAAGCTCCTCTTCCTCCTCAGCAGGATGAAGGCGCCCTCTGGTGTTCTGCATCAGTTTCCAATATTCTCCTGCTGATGATCAGGTATCAGTATCAGTGTGTAGTGTCTCTACTTTAAAGAGTCCTCTCCTGCTGATGTTCAGGTGTATATCAGTATGTAGTGTGTAGTGTCTCTACTTTAAAGAGTCCTCTCCTGCTGATGTTCAGGTGTATATCAGTATGTAGTGTCTCTACTTTAAAGAGTCCTCTCCTGCAGATGTTCAGGTGTATATCAGTATGTAGTGTCTCTACTTTAAAGAGTCCTCTCCTGCAGATGTTCAGGTGTATATCAGTATGTAGTGTCTCTACTTTAAAGAGTCCTCTCCTGCTGATGTTCAGGTGTATATCAGTATGTAGCGTCTCTACTTTAAAGAGTCCTCTCCTGCTGATGTTCAGGTGTATATCAGTATGTAGCGTCTCTACTTTAAAGAGTTCTCTCCTGCTGATGTTCAGGTGTATATCAGTATGTAGTGTCTCTACTTTAAAGAGTCCTCTCCTGCTGATGTTCAGGTGTATATCAGTATGTAGTGTCTCTACTTTAAAGAGTTCTCTCCTGCTGATGTTCAGGTGTATATCAGTATGTAGTGTCTCTACTTTAAAGAGTCCTCTCCTGATGATGTTCAGGTGTATATCAGTATGTAGTGTCTCTACTTTAAAGAGTCCTCTCCTGCTGATGTTCAGGTGTATATCAGTATGTAGTGTCTCTACTTTAAAGAGTCCTCTCCTGCTGATCTTCAGGTGTATATCAGTATGTAGTGTCTCTACTTTAAAGAGTCCTCTCCTGCTGATGTTCAGGTGTATATCAGTATGTAGTGTCTCTACTTTAAAGAGTCCTCTCCTGCTGATGTTCAGGTGTATATCAGTATGTAGTGTCTCTACTTTAAAGAGTCCTCTCCTGCTGATGTTCAGGTGTATATCAGTATGTAGTGTCTCTACTTTAAAGAGTCCTCTCCTGCTGATGTTCAGGTGTATATCAGTATGTAGTGTCTCTACTTTAAAGAGTCCTCTCCTGCTGATGTTCAGGTGTATATCAGTATGTAGTGTCTCTACTTTAAAGAGTCCTCTCCTGCTGATGTTCAGGTGTATATCAGTATGTAGTGTCTCTACTTTAAAGAGTCCTCTCCTGCTGATGTTCAGGTGTATATCAGTATGTAGTGTCTCTACTTTAAAGAGTCCTCTCCTGCTGATGTTCAGGTGTATATCAGTATGTAGTGTCTCTACTTTAAAGAGTCCTCTCCTGCTGATGTTCAGGTGTATATCAGTATGTAGTGTCTCTACTTTAAAGAGTCCTCTCCTGCTGATGTTCAGGTGTATATCAGTATGTAGTGTCTCTACTTTAAAGAGTCCTCTCCTGCTGATGTTCAGGTGTATATCAGTATGTAGTGTCTCTACTTTAAAGAGTCCTCTCCTGCTGATGTTCAGGTGTATATCAGTATGTAGTGTCTCTACTTTAAAGAGTCCTCTCCTGCTGATGTTCAGGTGTATATCAGTATGTAGTGTCTCTACTTTAAAGAGTCCTCTCCTGCTGATGTTCAGGTGTATATCAGTATGTAGTGTCTCTACTTTAAAGAGTCCTCTCCTGCTGATGTTCAGGTGTATATCAGTATGTAGTGTCTCTACTTTAAAGAGTCCTATGTCACTTCTCAAAACACATCTCTTCACACTGGTATATGCTCCCTGATCACACATCCTGTGTTCTTGTTGATTATATTGTCTTGTTTTTCAGATCTTATACGGCTACCTTGAGAGCCGTGAAAGGCACCTCGATCATTCAAATACAAACACAGGGATTTTACCTTTTGCATTTACATGCACCAAAAAACTAAAACCTTGTATTAAAATATTCTTTAAGAACAAAATGTTAAAGCAAGGTTTTGTTTACCAGGCTATGTAATTGTAATTTTTTAATATAGAAAAATAAAAAATAAAAAATAAAAAATAAAAAATTCTATTAGAAGTCCAAGGTAAGGCACGGGCCGGCGCATATCGCTCAAAGGAATCCCTCGCCATATGAACTATGACCCTTAGAAAGTAAAAGTGAAGAGGCACAACGTGTCAACTCCCTTAGGATAGGTCTGAGAAACAGGGGTATGAAAAGAAAAGTAAGAAACAGAGGAAGAGAGGCACAACATGTCTCTACATGCACTCTCCTAAAATATTAAACGAGAAAGGGGTGAAGAAATACAAAGAAAGAAACTGAAATGAAAAGGCACCACATTGCGTAAATGCTTCCCCTTAGAATAGGGTGGAAATTATGAAAAGGGGACTCTGCCTCTCCATTGACACCCTTGATGGCGTTTCCTACAAATATCTGGGCTTTTGGTTGGACAGTAATCTGAACTTTAAACACCTTATTGAAGTTTTAACAAAGAAATTGAAATTCACTCTTGGCTTCCTTTTCAGACTTAAATGTTGTTTTTCAATTTCATCCCGTAAAAGGTTGGTCTCTGGCTTATTCCTGTCCCAGCTGGACTACGGTGATACAATCTATAGATTTGCCTGTCCCACTGTTTTGGCCAAACTTGACCCACTTTACCATGCTGCACTGTGATGTATCAAATGCACCCTATAGGACTCATCACTGCACACTGTATAGCCTAACTGGAT